TTTTTATCTATAATTTCATCAGGAAGATCAATCCCAATTATATTATTAAACATTGTATTTCCAATTGCATAAATATTATCTGTTAATAAATATAAATGAAGATTACTATGATTAATTATTTTTTTAAATAAACAAAGAATCCTTCTACTCTATTTGTTGTAAAATCTCGATACATTCCATATTTGATACATTCAGAAGTGTTGAATTAAATCAATTAAACACATCAATTATTTATTAATATTTATTCAATTTAATTCTTCTATTAATTGTTTAATATTATCTTGTAATGTATTAGTACCATCTATTGAATTTATAATATCACTTGTATTAGGTTCAAACAACTGATCATCATCATTTTCTTCTTCATTATTTTCTTTATCATCATAACAAGTATTTTCATCATCATCATTGTCTTCTTCAATATTTTTAATATTTTTCATTATAATACTTTTCTATGTTTCAATTAAATCATTTTCATTTAATTTCATATTCATTGTTAAATGAAATAATTTCATTATTATATGATCACTCTTAAAATATTTTATCAATGATCTTTCTATATGATTTCTACACAAAAATAGTTTAGAATAAGGAAATATTTGTTTCAAAGCATTATATTGAGCAATACAACGATCACAAACAATGATTTCATGTCCATAATTTAAAATATTGTAAAGTTGATGAAAGAATAGTTTATATGAAATTTCAGGTTGATCAAATAAATATCCAAATGAAAGAAGTTGGTTAAAAGAATTATCATCTTTCACAATAACAACATATAAATTTTTATTATATATATTTGTTTATATATATTTGTTTTAGTTGTATCATCAACATACCATTTTCTTTTACTATATTCCATTTGATTCACTTTCTTATGAATGAATAATATCGAATGAATATAACCATTAGTGAAAGTATTTGTTAATTTAATAAATGAATCATTTTCAAAAAATGATTCTGAAAGAAATATATTTTCAAATATTTTATTTCTATCTTCTTCTCTCTGAATTTGTCTAAATTTTCTAAGAGGAATTTGAATATGAGGATGATTTACAAGAAATTTTATTATTTCATTATTTGTTTTTTGAATTAAATGTTTCTCAGATTTTAACAAAGGACAAGTTTTTGATACAACAAAGAAATAATCTAATTGATGTTTATGTTCATTAATTTCTAATACACTATTTACATTATCAAACCCTAATGTTACAATTAATTTATATTCACAATCTCTTCCTTTACATGTTTCTTTTGTTTTTCCTGATTGATTACAATCGAATACAATTTTTATATTATTTTTATTTATTTTTGTAGATTTTGTATGAATAAGAAGAAATAAAATTATTATTAATTTCCTAAGAGTAGTAATAACATCATTTTTGTCATTGGCATCGTGACATTCAATATCAATGTGAATATAATTCTTAAATATTTCAATTCTTTTTCATATTCTATTTCTTTTAGAACCATCAATCCTGATGCAAATATTTCTTTTTGTATAATTCTTAATTTTACTTGTTCATACCAATTTATTGATTTACAAACATTCATCATCCTTTCTATAATTCTTCTTAACAAACCATTTAATTTATTCAAAACAATAATTATTGATTCAATATTTTGTGAATATAATAATTTTGATGATAAAATAAGTATTTCATTCATAACATCATTGTTAATATAATCATTATAATGATTAATAATAACATTCATTGTGTCTTTAATTTCATTTTGTGCATCCTTCAAAGAAATTTGATTAAAAACACAATTATTAATAATAAATGATAAATTTATTGATATATTCTCAAAAATTTATTCAATCATTCACAGATTTATAGATTGGAATCAAAATAAGTGAATAAATAATACACATAAATAAAAACCATAAAAATAAAAATGAATAAAATAAATTATATCAATAAAATATTGTTAAATAATTTGTATCAATAAATTAAACACTTTTTATTGTATATTTCTAATTTCTATAATAAAAAATACATCCTTTATTTCATCATTCTTTTTATCTTTTATTTTCTCTTTTTGAATTATTCCTTTTTATCTTCTTTCATTTTATATTCTCAATTTTCTACTTTTATTCTTTTCATCTTCTTCTACTTCATAATTTCATTTTTTCCATTATATCATTATTTCTCTTCATTTTTCTCTTATTTCCTTTTTTCGTTGTTATATAATTTATTATGATAGTTCAAATGATATAATATTTTCTTATTATATAATTTACATATTAATTTATTTTATTATTAATATTATGAATATTATAATCTATTCTTTATGAAATAATATTCAACACTTATTCATAAACAAAATATAAATAAATATAAATGATAAATATTTTATTTATAAATCAAATGAGATGAAATAATTAATTTATTAATAATAAATGATAAAATAATTAAATTATTTATTAAATCTAATAAATTATGATATAAATTACGATATTTTATTCTTCATTTCAATAATTAAATAAAAATGATTAAAACATCGATATAATAATATTAATAAAAATAATAATCAACATAATAAGAATAAATAATAAATAATTCTAATTGAATATGAATAGATAATATCAATGAAAATAATAAATATATATAAAATAAATGTCAATTTAACTATTTTTAATTATATAAATTCTATATTACTTCTTTTTACTAAATATATTATCAAAACTACAATTATTTAAATATGAACTATTTCATTTATCTATTCATTAAATATTCACTAAATATACAAATAATCAAATAAGTAAAATAAAAAAATAAATAAGAATAAAATGATAAGTATCAAATAAATGATTATATTTAAATGAATAGAATTAAAATGAATATAATATAGAAATAAAATAATGAAATAACAAAAATAATAAATGTGATATATAACAATAAAATAAATAATGTTATTAAAAAATAAAAAAATAAAAAAGAACTTAAAAATAAATAATAATGGAAATAATAACATCAACATCAAATAACATATCAATTGATAAAACAAAACAAATAATTCAACAACTAGAAGAATTGACAGAAAGAAGAATAGAAGATATTATATTTGATTCAGATATTGATGATTGGAATGTTAATACATCAATATTTGATCAAAGAATAATAAATAAAGAACATATAATAATTATTATTGAAGATGAAGGTGGAAATAAATTTGGAGGATATGTTAATGTGAAAATTGATAAAGTTGATGATGATATAAGTGATCCAAAATCATTTTTAT